CATCGATCGGATCGATCGGACGTCCGTTCCCCGCGCGTTGCTCGATATCGTGCGCGCTTCTTTTGCCAGATGTTCCAGGATGATCCTCGATGCGACGAGCGCGTTCCAATACTCGCAAAGTAACTAATCGCAAATGGCCTGGATCCCCCTCGGAGAATCTACGATAAATCGTATCAAAACAGGCATGTGTTTCTCTGGCGCTTGCGAGTAGAAGCGGGGGAGACTCGCCATCGATCGGACGTCCGTTCCCCGTACGTTCCTCGATATCGTGCGCGCTTCTCTTGCCAGATGCTCGAGGATGCTCCTCAATGGTGGGCTTGCCTTCCACCACCAACACCACCACCATAAGTAGGAGTGGGAAGGGGGTCCTCCTCCTCCTCCTCCTCCTCCTCCTCCTCCTCCTCCTCCTCCTCCACTTCTTCCTCCACATCCTCCACCTCCTTCCCCCCTGCAACTTATGGTGGTGGTGGTGGTGGAAAACAAACCCATCACCTGAAGGGCCCTCGCCGACAACGCGCGCACGCCCGAGCGATTCCAGGGAGCACTCGCTCATCGCCGGCCGAGGCCCGCCGCATGCCGCGAGAGCGCGCTCGAAGCCTCCGCAGCAAGCCCCTCTGCGGCAGCGGAGGGGTCGGAAAAGGCGCGCAGCGACCCCGCACAGGAGGAGAGCCGGGCGCGCGCGGGCGGTCGTCCTCGTCGTCGTTCGTCCGTCGTCTCGCCCGCGCCTCTCGCCTCGGTCCCTCCTCTTTCCTGTGCTTTCTGCCTCCTGTCTGTGGAGATCGGCGACGCGCAAGGAGTGACACTGGGCAGGAGTGGCCTTGAATTGGTGCGCGGCTTGCCGGTCGTTGTATGCGGTGCGACACCAGCGGCTTGGGTTTGACCACCCCACCCCCCCGCGCCCCCCCACCGGAACTGGCGCACTCAAGATCGCTCTGGCCACTGGTCAGCTGCCCATCCCGAGCCGCTTCTTGACGACCCCAGGGCCCGCAGCCTAGGTCGCCTAACTTCGCGCATCGCCCCCCCGCGACGCGCGACGCGCGACTATCATCCCACCCTCGCGCCGCCCAGCCCTCTCGAGAAGGGCAACTGCTCTGGCCCACACAGCGCGACGCGCAACGCGCGGCGCCCCCCAAGGGGACCTGGGCAGCCGGCCGGCAGGCTGAGGCTCTCTCTGGGCTGGCGCAAGCGCGCGAGGCTGGCTATCGGCAAGCCAGGAGGAGGAGGAGGAGGAGGAGGAGGAGGAGGAGGAGGAGGAGGAGGAGGAGGAGGAGGAGGAGGAAGGAGGGAGAGGAGGAGGAGGGGGGAGGGAGGAGGAGGAGGAGGGGAGGAGGAGGAGGAGGAGGAGGAGGAGGAGGAGGGGGAGGGGGAGGAGGAGGAGGAGGAGGAGGAGGAGGAGGAGGAGGGAGCGAGGAGGAGGAGGAGGAGGAGGACACCGTGGCACAGGAAGTGAGTGGCAGGCCCCTGCAGCGGGGGGGGGGGGAAGAACCACAGCTACCCAGACTGTGGCTGGCCCTCGGTCCAACTGCCTCCGCCCGAGCCCTCGCGCTCTCCAGCGTTCTGCCAACCAAGCCGCGGTGCGCAGAACGCAGTGATCTCTGAGCACCTCCGAGCGACCTCCCAGTCCTCGGGCGCCTCGATCTGCTCGGCAAGAGGGGCCCAGGGGTCTCTCTTAACTTCTTCCCCAGGGCCAGCTGCATACTTCGAGCTGTGCTCGGGCGGCCCGGGGGCCCAAGGACCAGTCTCTGGAGGCCAAGGCTAATCATGGCGACGGACCGGCGGCCTTGATTTTGGTTGAGGCGCGGGCCGTCTGGGCGCGGCCAGGCATCCAGCCAGGTGATGTTCGTTCAATGCGCGGCCCCAGGAGTCCCACCCCCTTCACTAGGGGCAGTTCTTATCAAGGGTGAGGGCACAATGAACATGACCAGGACGTCGTGGGATCGTGTGCACGCCGTCTTGGTCATCCGTCGCCGATTCGCACGAATCAAGACGGACGATGACCAAGATCGACACCGACGTTTGAGCGTTCAAACGAGGTCATGGTCGTCGTTCTCCGCCCTTCAGTTAGAACTCGGATCCAGTTGCAAGGCTTCTGGGGCCCAGAAGCAGGCCCCATGCAGAGGCCGAAGTGAAGGAGAAACGCTGAGATGGGCCTCCTCCTTCTCCTCCCCCTCCCTCCTCCTCTGGCTCATCCTCCTCCTTCTCCTCCTGCTGCTCCTCAGTACCCCTCCTCATCCTCCTCACCCCCTCCTCCTCCTCATCCTCCTCCTCCTTCTCCTCCTCCTCCTCCTCCTCCTCCTGGCTCAAGCTCGCCTCACAGGTCAGGTCCTGTGAACTGGGGCCCAAGCTTGACGCGCACCCAGGGCTCCAGAAGCCCCGTTTTCTCGCAATCGCGCTTCCCTTCAGGCCTCCGCTGCCATTCGCTGCCTCGCTGCTTCTTGTGGGAGTGGTTTCAGCATCATGGCTAAAAGAGGCGGCAAGCGAGGCGGCCAGCAGCAGAAGCGTGAGTACTTCGTGTGCTCGAACCCCAAGTGCGGTGGCTGGGGCTACTGCGACGTCAGCCAGTTCTGCGGGCAATGCGGGAAGAAGTTTCAAGGTCGTGGCAAGGGGCGTGGAGATGACGGGGGATCTTCGCAGACAGTGCCAGCAGGTGCCAATCGTTGGAAGGGTGGAGAGCATGCAGCCAGGGGCATTAAAGATAATGACAGGCAGGGATCGCATGCTAACTCACCTGACGACATCGCAGCTGCAGCGACATCCACCAGTGAATATGACCAAGTTGCTCACTACCAAGACTTGGTGCAGTTTTGGAAAGAAAGGGAAGGCTCTGGCGGAGCCAACTACATCAAGGCTGTCGAACAACTCAAGACGGCCAAGCAGACGGTGCTCAAGGCCAAACCTTTTCGACCAGCAGGCGCAGTCGCTGCGGGACCAGATCGAGAGGACCAAGGAGCGCATCACCAAGGCCGAGCAGCAGTCCGAGGAGAAGCTCGAGGAGATCACCAAGCTCGCCGACGAGTTCTCGGAGCTGCAGGTCACCATCAACACGGCGCGCGAGGAGGTGGCACAGTTGGAGGCGCAGCACGCGATCACGGTGCATTCAGTGGCAGCCAACACGCCGAAGCCTCGCGCCAACAACCCCTTCCCGTCACTCAGTCAGCTGTGTGACCAACTCCAGCAAGGACCTGTACACAGTGTGCCGCCGCACATTCAGCAGCAGGTGTTCGCGCTGGAGGAGAGCCTCAAGCAGGCGGTGCAGCAGCTGCCAGCAGCGGCCACACCAGGCCCCCGAGGCGCCCCCCCAACAGGTGGAGGGCGCGACAGGCGGCGCCGCCTCCGCAGGCGCCGCCCCAGGCGGCCTCAGCCAGCAGCAGCCTGAGGGGGCCATTGTGGCCGCGGCTGGGGCAGTTGAGCCAGCCGCAGCAGCGACAGCTGAGGCGCCAGAGGCTCGGCCAGCGCAGAGTACACCTGACGACTTCGGCTTCCCGAAGGTTGGCGACGCGGAGGAGAGCGCTGCCACCGTGGACCAGACCCAAGGCAGCACCCAGAAGAGGCCCCCCAGCGAACGGAACGGGATCCAGCAAGCTCTCGGCACCATCGCCAAGGAGGACAACTCCAGCCAGGAGGCCAAGAAGGCCAGGCAGCTGGCCCAGAAGGCCATCGAGAGGGCGGCGGCGGCCAAGGCTGCTGGCAAAGGCGCGGCTGACGCGCCATATGGGTAACAACAAGCAGCTCAGCATCATCACCATCAACGGGAGTTGTTGGCCTGCAGTACAGAAGCTAGTTCAATCTGGTGAAGTTCAAGACACCGCTGTCACCTGCGCCCAGGAGGTCAAGCTCCGAGGCGACGAGCTTTCTCAAGCTATTCAGTGGTGTGAAGTTCGAGGCTGGCATGCAGTCATCTCTGAATGCGACGTCGGCGAGAAGAACTACAACAGCAGCGGCACATGCATACTCATCCGTACTGGACTCAACATAGGAGTTCAACCTGCGCCTCTTCCGCCTTATATTCCTCAGAGTCGTGCTGCTGCTGCCATTCTAGAACTACCAGGGCACAAGCCCATCGTTTCCTCTCCATGTACTTCGAGGCCTCTGAGGGCCTCAACAACACAAATTTGCACCTGCTGGCGACAGCAGGTTGGTGCCAGCAAAGGTATCGCATGCCTATCTTCGTGGGGGCTGACTTCAACATGGCCCCGTCCATGGTTTCAGGCTCAGGAGTGCTTGAGCGTGCAGGACTGGCCACGGTGTACCCATCTGGCTACACCCTTTTCACTAGCAAGACGCGCAGCAAGATATACTATTTCATGATGAGCTCGTGCCTCAAAAATTCGGCGCAGGCGATCGCAGTGCCCAAGCAGTACCCCTTGTCGCCCCACCGCCCCGTCAAGCTCAGTCTGGCGGCCGGGTCCAGCCTCATGACCCCTGTGCTCAGCAAGCCCCAGAAGCTCCCCACCAAGCGCCCCATAGGCCCCGCTTTGGAGAACAAAGACTGGGTAAAAACGGCTGCCGCCCTGGACACCGCGGAGCAGTTCTTGGTTTCGGAGGCCCCTGAGACCCAACAAGCAGCTCTGGATAAAGCGCATGAGATTCTGGATTCGGAGATGGAGGCCACAATCAGTAAGGCCACGGATACCCCCCTCCGTCAAGCAGGTCTCCGTTGTGGCCCCCAAAGATTATCTGGCTGTCTGCTAAAGCTGTGGAGAGCCAACACCGAGCTGAATGGACAAGTTTTTGGCGGCCGACGCGTTGGCTTCTCAACCAGATTTTAGAGGTGCAGCGCGTTCTTGTGCAGTGTGATGTTGGCGCGCTCTCAGATCTGTTGCAGGTGCTATCGGAACCGCCGCAAGAGTTTTTTGTTTCTGACGAGTTGAGCGCCATGCTCAGCAAAGTGCGCAGCCTCGTGGAAGCGCTGCAGCAGGACGTGCAGGGCAGGGGCAGGGGTGGGATTTCTCCAGAAGCCAAAGCTATATTTCGTGAACAGCATGAATTAGTTCTTAAGTTTCTTGATAAAGAAAAGCATTCAGAAGGCCAAAACGCAAGTTCTACGTGGAAGCAGTGGGTCAAAGATCGAATGGCATCGGGGGTTGGCTGGGCCCATCGATGGACCAAGAAAAACCAACCTTGGAAGCCACATCAGGTAAAAACCCAAGCTGGAGACCTTTCGGGAGGCCCGACGGAACTTTTGAATGCTGAAGTTCGTCGCCTCACGGCAATTTGGGAGCCGAAAGCGGAACCTCAAGCTAGAGCCCCAGCAGATCCTCAAGCAGCAGAAGCCCTTCCTCGTATCACCCCAAGGGAGCTCAAGCAGGCCTTGAAGAAGTTTAGTCAGGCCACGGCGGAGACTTGGGACGGGATCCACCCCAAGCGCTTCGCCCTCCTCTCTTTCCAGCAGCAGGAGCAGTTTTGCAGGCCCCTCAACATCGTGGAGCGCGTCGGGAGTATGCCGTCCCAGCTTCTAGCAGTTATCACAGCCCTCATACCCAAATACAAACCCTCAGGTAATGGCCCCTCCTACCGTGGGATAGGTCTTATGCCAAGTACGTATAGAGTGTGGGGGGGGAATACGGCAAAATGAAGCTAGAAGATGGGAGCAACGGCATCGTAGAAGTTTTCTTGCGCATCAGGCGGGGAGGTCTATCCTCGAGCTAGTGTACCAGCAGTCGCTCCAGGCAGAGAGCGGCGCCACCCATGACTCCTCCCTCCACACTGCCTCCATCATGTGGGATCTAACCAACTATTACGAACATGTTAATCGTGATAAGCTTCATCGTCGAGCCCTGGAATCGGGCTTCAATGGTGCCATCATGTCCGTCATCATGAATCAATATCAGAGTCAACGAATGATTACTCTCAATAATCAAACATCATATGCAGGTTATACGTCGAAAGGAACGCCCGCAGGTTGCAGCTTCGCTACGCTCTTGGTTCAGATCTATTGTTTGGAAACTCGAGATATATGGACATCGCATGTGCCAGTCTCCCTCCATATGTTTATTGACGATATGCTGCTCCTTTTCTCGCACAAGTGCAAAGCCACCCTCATCGCGGAATTGAGGAGAGCGGCTGCCAGCATGTTGTGGGCGATCCAGTATGAGCTGGAGTGCTCAGTTGCAGTGGCCAAGTCAGCTGTCTTAGCCACGTCTGTCGACATTCAGAAGAAGCTAGCTAAGCAGGTGGGTAAGTACTCTGGTTCCACGCCAGCGCATGCAGCTAACCTAGGAGTTGATTTTCGAGCAGGTCAAAAACGCGGGAAGCACATCCGAAGCAGCAAGCTAAGAGAAAGATATGCTAAGCTAAAAGCTAGAGTTCCGAAGATTCGAGCGGTTCACCGAGCAGGGGGAAACACGCTAAAGCTTTATAGTACTGGTTTTGGTCAAGCTCAGTTTTATGGTTCTGAAGTTGTTGGAATGGATGATCTCGAACTTAGACAATCCAGGAGATTATTCTTGAAAATTGCTGGCCCTGGGATCTCAACCAGATCGTTTACACTCGGGCTCTGTCTTGTTGAGGACCCCTGCTGGCGACCAGGTGTAGGGCCCATCTTACTGTGGTCCACGCTCGTCTGGAGGGCCATGACGGGCGAGTACGCGGCTGGTTTCAATCTGCCAGGCCTTCGAGAGATGACAGCAGCTATTTTAGACGATCCGCCGAAGAAGTGGAGCCAGTGCCGAGGTCCTTCCGGCGCAGCTATTCTAAGTGCTACGCGTATCGGTTGGAAGTTTACTAGTCCATTCACCATGAGCGACCAGAATCATCAGATACATATTCTAACAACTACGTCTCCAGCACTACTCCAGTTCTGGCTCCAAGGAGCTTGGGCTCAGCAGCTCAGGACTCAGGCAGCGACGAAGCTTGGCCTGGAAGGCCAGTTGGACGCAAGTGTCGCCCAGGAGCTCCTCAGGTCCAGTACGCTCACGGACTCCGAAAAGGTTACCCTCAAGGCCTTCCTCACCCAGGGGATCTGGACCCATTCATGTCTGGCCAAAGCAGGCTACCCCACGGAGCCCCAGTGCAAATGCGGACATTGTTCAGATGATCTTCATCATAGACTCGTGAGTTGCCCCTGCACAGCCGAACTTAGAGACGAAATGTTTTCCCAACATGAAAGAGACCAGCTCCAGGACCCGACCAAGTTTCCGCTCCAGGCAGGCTTCCAAGTGAGGCCAGATTTTGACATCGGAGCCCCTGTTGGTCTCGGGAACAGTTTAAACAATTGTACAGTGTGGGTCAAAGATGGCCATGCCCTTCAGGATGCGTTCAAGGGCAAAGTTTATACTGACGGTTCGTGTTTGAAACAGGGACACTCGTGCTTTCACACTGCGGGCTTCGCCGCCGTGGTGATCGACGAGAGCGGCGAGCTCGAGGGAGCGGTCTACGGACCTGTGGGCAGCAGCCTTCCCCAACCCTCCCCTTCTGCTGAGCATCTTGCCGTGCTTGCTGCTGCTGCTGCTGCCCCTCCCCGAGCCATAACTGAGATAATCACAGATTATCAGGGTATTTTAGATGTGTACAATCACCAGCAGTACTTCAGGAAGCATAAGTACGCTGGAGTTGCCATGCTGACCCGCGGAAGTAGAGGGTGGCATGATAATGTTGAGTGCGTCAAGATAAAAGCGCATCGGGACTTGGAGGCGATTCCCAAGGGAACGCATGAGTGGCTCGATGCCACTGGAAATGATCTCGCCGATAAGTTCGCAAAGTTAGGTGCCCAGAGTCTGCTCCGACCTTCTAGCTCTGAAGTAGAGGAGGTTGACGAGCAGACCAAGCTACTCAAGAAATGGCTCATTTATGTGGCCAAAGGTTTAAGTTTGTGGGAGCCCGTGGGACCGAAGTCCAGCAAGAAAGCTTTCGATTCTAGGGACAAGGGCGCCGCCCAGAAAGTTCTTGCTGGAGCGCGTAGCGCGCTTGCTGTCTGGCAGCAACCTATCCCTCCTCCCCCTCCTGCCCCTGAGGCCCCTCGTCCCCCCCGCTTCCTCCACACGTGGGAGTGGGGGTGGAACGGGAAATGGATATGCGCAGTCTGTAAAACCAGATGCGCTCAGAAGCAGTTGGCTGGCCGAAAGGATGAGGCTTGCAGAGGGTTCCATCCTGATTTGGCCGATCTGGCAACTGACCCCCGCAGGCATCAGCTGTATGTTTCAGAGGAGACCAGGGGTGCAAATTTTATTCTTGCATGTGCCAAGTATGGTCTTTACAGCGAATCCAACGTCGTGGGTTTAAGCAAGGCCTGTGGAGGAGAGTTCAAGCGTGATGGTGCTCGAACTCAGTGGAATCTGCTCTGTAATGGAAAGCACCCCAGAAGCAATTTTTCCGCTCCCTCCAGGTACAGTTGCCCGCCGCTCAGGTTGACGGATTATGTAACTCGTCAACGTCAGGCCATGTCCCTACAGGAGGACGCCAGGCCTTAGGGTGGACGAACTCCGCCCCCAACCACGTGATGATCCTCCTCCTCCTCCTCCTCCTCCTCCTCCTCATCCTCCTCCTCCTCCTCCTCCCACTCCTGCTCCTCCTCCTCCTCCACCTCCTCCTCCTCCACCTCCTCCTCCTGCTCCTCCTCGTCCTCGTCTTCGTCCTTCTCCGTGTCCTCCACCTCCTTCCTCTCTCCAACTGATGGTGGTGGTGGTGGAGAACAGGCCCATCAAGCACGAGATCGCAAAACATTCTCGTGATGCTTTGCCCATTCAGCGGACCACCTCAGGGGAAGAAGAAGGGGGGGGAA